TCAAAATTCTGGTTCTTTTTTTTTTTTTTTTGTCTCTGTGGCTCTCTGCCCTTGGAACACTCTGGACTCATCTGTCCTCCTTAAATCTCTAGCCAACCCATACATGGGTCATTCTTTGTTTCCAGAGGAAATCCCATCAGCAGACTAACTTCCTTGAGTGTAATTTTATTCTCTCCTTCTGCCATCTTCCCAACTAAATAGCTTTTCATCTCCACCAAACTGAATCTTATGCCCAGAATCACAGCTTCCTTCTCCCACTTTAACTCACTTCTCAAAACCTTCCTGCTTCCTTAAACTCTTCTATGTAAGACCTCAGTGCTTCTTCCACGGGGGGAAAGGGAGGAATTAAAGAAATACAGTGTGCTTTTCCCCTTCCTTATTGCCAGTTTGTTTGTTTTTTAACCTGTCATATACAAAATTTCACCCCGCTCTAAACTCTGTTCTGCCACTCTGCTGCCCTCTTAACCACTCCTGCACCTACTCTCATCTACTCCATTAACTTGCTTGGAAGTTTCCCATCTCACTGTAAAAGCATGCTCGTCTCTAACCACAATTCTGAGCTGGGAAAATGTATTCTTTTATCTCCAGCTATTCTTTTCTTCTCAAAGCCCATAGAAGTTGCCATTTACAATCACCAGCTGGATTTTTCCCAGTTGAATGCTTTCCCTTTTTCAAAGAATTCCACACTGGGTTGATAGGAAAAAAAGGAAATTTCCTCCCTTTCATTGTGCTAGCTACAAAATTTCAGCATGCCAAAACAACCTAGTACTAACAGTATAATCTCAAACCACGCCCAGAACACTAGCCAGGTGACAGTGTTTGTGCATGTGTGCACAAGTGCATGTGCATGCACGCGCGTGTGGAGGGAGGGCAGGGTTGAAAATCAGGGTCACACCAGGCTTCCCACTGTGCTCTGGACCAAACAGCCTGATCTCTCCTATCCGGCAGAGGACAGCAACCTTCTGCTGCTGTCAGATAACAAAGTTACACCTGTACTGAAATTTTAGTACTTAAACCCTAAAAGCGGATGGCAGAATGATGTTACAAGTACACATAATACAACTTAATTAAATGAATGCTAAGCCAAAGCACCATTTGAGTTGCAATTAAAAGCACCCAAAAGTTGAAAATACCAGAGTTTAGGCTGCTCAAGTAACCTTAATTCTGCCCCCTTGTGTATATGCTTTCTGTTATGTTGTCAATTACATAGAATCATAGAAGTAGGGTCGGAAGGGACCTTGTAGATCTTCAAGTCCGACCCCTGCCTAGGCAGGAGAAAAAACTGGGCTCAAATGATCCCAGCTAGGTAGGCATCAGTACATGATCATATACTGTTTTTTCCCCAATCAGATATCTGCCTTATTCAAATTCACAGGCTGCTGCATAGCCAGAAAGGGAGGAGGGGATGGGAAAAAAAATCAGTAAATCATTTTGGAGGAGTGTAGGGACTTTATCCACTGCAAAAGATCCAAAGCCTGTATATAGTTACCTAGTTTAAGATATCCATTCTATCCTCGCTAAACTTTTTCTAGATCCTTTACTGCCAAAACAACCCTAGTCGCACCCAGTGTAGTTTTATTTGTGTATCTGCCATCCCTTTTTTTTTTTGAAAAAAAAATTAGGGATGCACTGATACAGGTTTTTGGGGCCAATACTGATAGCTGATTTTTAAGCAAGCATATGGGCTGATACCGATCCAATTTCCAATACCAGCCCAGCAACTTGAAGAGCTGCATGCAGCTGGTAAGTCTGATATGGTAGAAGGGGAGGAGGGAGGGAAGGGGTGTGAGGGGGGGAAAGATCAAGGCCCCACTGGTGAGGGAGGAGTGGGGCTAGAACAAGCACTTCCCAGCCAGGGCGGGGCAGGCACGTGATGGAGCCACAGCTCGTCCAGGGGGGCACGGGAATGGGGGCTGGCTCCCACCACTATATGCCGCTCATCTGGGAGCTGCTGGTCCAGTGGCTCATCTGGTGCTCACCCGCTCATGTGGCGGCTTCCGCTGCTCATCTAGGAGCATGCTGGGGGAAGAGGGGAAATGTGTCCCCAGATCTGTGTGGGGCCGGGCAGGGCGAGCTCTTTCTGGCCAGGCGGGGCAGGGCTGTGCTGGGAGAAGGCTACGGGGGGGCTACAGCCACCCCCAAATTCATCGTAGCCCCCCACAACCCTCCTCCTAGTGCCACCGCTGTCCTGTCCTCCCTGCACACAGCCCCGCCAGAAAGAGCCTGGTGCAGCCCCAGCCCCCCCCACATTGATCTGGGGACACACACTCCCTCCACCCCCGTGCCTTCCTGGATGAGTGGTGACCAGTGGCAGGAGCTGCCCTCCCCCCACCCCCCCCAGACAAATTGCAGCTCTGTCCCATGCCTGACTCACCCTGGCTGGGGAGCACTTCGCCCAGTACTCCCTCACTGCAGAGACCTTGATCTGCCCCCCCTTCCCTTCACTGCTCTACAAGCTGCCAGGCTGTGCTCCTCACCACCTACGTGCTGCACTGTGGCTGCACGCATGCATAGGCCATTTATTGGCCCAATTAATCAGCCATATCAGCCAATTTCCAATACAGACAGTTTTCTTTATAGCAGTGCCAATCCAATATTGGACCAATGTATCAGTGCACCTCTAAAAATTACGTACCCTGTTGTTCAAAATTCACAAACAAAAGGTTAAATGGACTGTAATGAAAGTGACTACCACAGACACACCACCAAATGAACCAAAACAAAAGCTAGGAAAAATATTCTGTTACTTGTAAAAGGTGGCACAGTGGCCTTAGGCCATTTTATTTACATTTTCAAATACATCTTTAGAGCACCCTATTAAAGCTTAAACTTATAAAACAAAGGAATTTCCCACCCAAAATTATTAGAAGCATAATTATTCAGTACAGCATATAGAGTCTACCATGCTCTACCAGCTTCAGCTATAGTTTCAGCTTTATGCAAAATTAGGACCATCTAACTTTTGAGATCTAACCAAAATAACCTGATGGGCCCAGCCTTAAAAAGAGGGCTCTCACTAACAGAAAGCCAATTTAAATCTGAACAGTGCTCACTGATCTCAGAATGGAGGATCTGGTTCAGCTACTGGAAGAAGAGTGAAGACTGAAAATCTTGAAACAAGGAGTATTTTACATGGTCAATTAGCTAGCTACCTCATCTAGAAGGGAACTGAGTCAGTTCTTCAGAAAAGACTAGCT